TTAAGTATATTTTAAGTAGGCCTATGCTAAAGTATCATTCTTTTTCATAAGGGTCCTGGGGTCCTGAGTCAGCAAAAACTACCATTGAGATTAATGCCAATGCTAATAGTTTCATTAAGTATAATATGGATCTTGGATTTAGCATCAGAAACCACATACAGAAGTCATCATTCATATTATGTGGAAAAGTGCAGCTTGGACATTCTACTAAACTTCACAAGAAATAAAATGAGTTTGAGGGTGAGTAAATGGTGAGCTGGCTCAGTTCAAACTAATGGATTGTAACAGTAAAACTGCTATTTAACCCTGTGTTTCTGGTTAGACTATTAATTTGAATCGCCATTTATGTTCATAATTGACATTTCGATGTAAAACAGTATATTCAATAATAAGAAAAGCAGGATGGGATTTGATTTTATCCATTCAGAATTGTTTGAAACAAAGTGGTGTGGAGTTGTTTTGGAGGAAGAACAAGATAAACTTTTTTTTTTAAGAATATGCAGTGATGAGACTTTCACCATGAAGACTAGGAATATGTATTAAGACAGTAAAGGTTCCTTTTAATTTAATTCTATGTACATAATTCAAATCTCAGTTTTACTTCTAAGCAAATGCCTCATTTGATTAACATGCAGTTTGTGAAAAGGTTTGACCGAATCATCAAAAAGAATCAAATCACAGTGTCACTTGTCAAAACACCTGCTTCTCCATTTTTAAATGTCACCTGCAGATAGTACTAAAGCAAGGCAAAAACACATCATTTAGCAACCCATTTTTAACACAGCCTATTCCATCTGTCGCTCACAGGTAGGACAGAAATGACTTTCTAATTAGAATGAGTACATAACCCATTTTCACGGTTTAACACTTTAGATCGGGAAACAACTGACATAAATGTGGTGGTCCTCAGTATATTTTAGACATCATACGCGGAGGTGAATGAAAAGATAAAAACAGCATCAATACGGTAAAAACGTCAGAGAAAATAAGAGTACATTTACAAATGATCAGAATTGATACTTAATAATGATACGAGCTTTGAGTTATTTTGAGAATAGCTGTAAATTATCTATTTATACAGCTGAATAAGCTGGGATAAAATTAGCTGCCTGTTGTGGATGTAAATGTTCAGTGTTGTTGTGAATTAAGGGGTGCTTCTCATTTAAAAATGATTGAAAGTCTGAAGCATGAGTGGCGTGTTTGGAAACCTCTGCCCAGCATCTAAATCCCTGTCATATCCTAGCTACCACGCAGAGCCATGCGGATGAAAAATGACTTCAAGAGAGTTCTCCATCTCAATGAATGCGTCCACCATTATTCACACAACATACATCAGGTCCAGGGTGTAGTTCCTGAATAGTAACGCCTCACTTCAGGATAGCTGCTCTTTTGCCGTGTGCCATTTTTTGCACGTGTTTTGTGTAAAAACGGAAAGCGGCGAAAGACCTGTCACCAAAGAAAATGGGCCAGAGTCTTAATAAGTGGGCCACAGCGTTTTACAAAAAGTTCCGACTTAGATGTCGGTTTATGTTACGCTACATTATTAACACGTAAGGGTAACTCAAGTGCGAGGGACACTACAGCTGTTTACGTTCTGCGCTCTTTCTTCTACAGTGAGTGGCAAAGAAAGTGATTCAATAAATGGGCAGCTGTGTGAAGACACTATGTCATGGGGAACGTTCTAGTTTGTTTATCTTACACTGACGTCTATGGGAATAATGATCTGCAACCATGGCTCCATAGTACTACCACTGTATTCTTTACAGTTAATCTTTCAGTACTATGATTTATATCAAGTACCATCATGTATAATCATAGATAGAAATTGGTAGTGTTGGGTCTGAGTTCACCTTTTCGAGTCAGGTCCTAGTCTTTAACCAGCTGAGTTTGAGTGGTAAACGTTTATTAATGTTTTTTTTTTAATGTTGTTACTTATTTTTATTTTTATGCTATCTTATGTTACACACAACATTCGTCTGTACTCTGAAAAATGTTTGCATCCAAAATGTCCGAGTCCAAGTCCATTTGAGTACCCCAACTCTAGAAATATTCAGTTTTGCTGTATTAATACATTACAGTACATTTAAATATTACAACAGGCAATTCTGAATATTAGAAATATTACAGCACAATTAAGGATTTAAGCATTCTTCATAGCAACCTCTGTGTGTGTGTGTGTGTGTGTGTGTGTGTACCTGGTACCTGGAATGTTCCCACAGGTATAGTAATACCAGTAAATTTTGACCTTGTGGGGACATTTTTTGGTCCTCGTGAGGAAACAAGCTTATAAATCATACAGAATGATCTTGTTTGAAGATCTAAAATAGCAGAAGGTTTCTTGTGAGGGGTAGGTTTAGGGCTAGGGTTAGGATTAGGGCAAAGAAATAAAAAATACAGTTTGTACAATATAAAAACCATTACGCCTCTGGAATGTCCCCCTAAATCATGGAAACCCAACATTGTGTGTGTGTGTGTGCTTGGCATCAAGAGAGTGAACATAAATCTGTGCTGTGCTTAATTTGTGCTATTTTGTATCTTTTTAATATTACTTTTATCTCTATCTGTCTACCTTTCATTTCTGTCAGGACCACTATCGTCAAAGATGATTGACAATTATGTCATATTCCTATAGGTAGATGGGGATCAGCTGAGAGTCAGCTGATGCTAGCTTGACTAACGTGACCTGCCAGAACTAACGCTATGCTAGATTTTTTTTTTATTAATTGATAGAAGAAGAATTGGCTTTCTGTTGACTATTCTGATATTCTAATTCAAAAAAAGAAGATAAATCTAGATAAAGTATAATTAAAATAGAATAGAAAGTGCTAGAGTTAGAGGGTCAAATAAAGGAGATTAATTAGTATACAGTAGCAACACTGTTTATATTAATGTAACTGCTGACCCTGAATTAAAAAACCTTGTTCATCTTTATACTTCACTATTAACATTTCAAGTGACTGCTAAATACATTGTAAATATATTGTATATGATTATATAATTGAACTCACTTAAAGGGGTCATATGATGCGATTTCAAGTTTATTATTTACTGTCTTTACATTTATTTTGAAAGATGAAGCTCACGATTATGGTAAGGGGCGTTACATTTCCGACGAGTGCTTGCGGTGTTCGGCCAATCACAATGCACTGGGTCAGCTGACCAATCAGAGCAGACCGCGCTTGTCGGAAGGAGGGACTTTGTAGAAAACGACGCGTTTGAGAGAGGCGGGGCATAGAGGACCTACAATAATGTACAGTATTTGAAAAATAATGTGTTTTTTGAAAATTAAAGCATGTCAGCATATTCTGTTACACCAAATACACCAAATAATGATCTTTAAAAAAGCATCATATGACCCCTTTAACATATTTACGATTTGTAAACAACACTTTTTCTGCTGAACAAAATGTAAGTTGTGCTTGACTGTGCAAAGCTCAAAACTGTGCAAAATTATGAAAACCATGGTTTTATTAGAGTAAAAGTGTAGTAACCATGTTTTTTTTTTTTGGAGGGTTGATTACAATTTGTATAGAGCACAGTTTTACTATACCATGGTTTAACTACAATAACTGTGTTTTTTTGGTTTTATCTGTAGTAAAACCATGGTTAATTTTGGTTGAAGAGGTTAAAGAGGTGGTTGCTAAGCTGTTCTGATTGGTTGGATGGTTGCTATGTCATTTATTACGGAAACAGCTCACCCTAGGCCTCTATGATATTCTCAAGATAGTCCCGATTTCAACATAAATTGGTATAAATTGGAAGAGTTACCAAATTTTGTTTGTTCATATCACTAACCCTAAGTAATAGCAATAGTAATAGTGATGCTTGCCATTGGAAGTGCTACTAATAACTCTTTATTTTAAATAGCAAACTTAGTAACATTTAAAAACTTTTTCTTTCTTTTTTTAAATAAAAGCTAACAATGAGAGTCCAGAGTCTTAATCTCCTCCTGAAACTCAAATCCATTTTGATACCCAGGTTTACAGCCTCTCGCACTCACTGACGGTGGAAAGTAGATCATCTACTAATAAAAGGAAATTTCCCATGAGCCTCTCGGATCCAGCGAGCAAGAGTAGCACAGGAAATAATTAAACTGCTTTGGAAAAGCAAGGCACAAGGATAATGAACACAACAAGCCTTCAACATCAAATCATGCAAGATGAAAATGAAACATGTAAAATACATCAGTACATGTAAAATTTGAAAAGTCTTGCCCAGTGACTCGTCACAATTTGAGACTCTACACTGCGAGAATCTGCACGTCATCTCGGCTGTTCATAGATCAATCAGCTGTGAGCTTGAGGCTACTCTTCAGCAAAAACCCAATTTTATTTTCAACTGAAATCCATAGCTACACAAACTGACTTTGGATGGGTTGTTTTAGAACATTTTTAAAAATAATGTAAGTACTGCTCGAAACAAAGATGACTTATTGGTAAGCCAAGCCACATCACAAGTTGACATTGATGTTTTAGTTAAATTATTTACATTGTGAATACAATTCAATGGAAAAAATGAAATAATTCCATCCATCCATTAAAATCTCAAAACAGGGTTTCTGGAGCGTATTCCAGTGTCTCAGGCCGAAAGTATAGAAACACCCTGGATGGATGACCAGTCCATCACCAAATCTCAAATAGGATATTATTAAATAATTTTATTTCTGACAGATCTGGCATCATCTGGCTGTTTATTCATTACTATGCAAGTGATCACATGTCCTAATGGTCTAAGACATCAGCCAGTACACAAATTCAGACATGAGCCCTCTGGCTTGTCAAAGCTGTGTTTCTGTAATTTCTGTATTTCCTCTATGTGAGCTGCAGATTTTACAATATTAGTTAATAAACTTTCCCAGCCTGCATCATGAAGGCAGGTCTAAAGGCACAGCCCACCATACCAAACGACTGTCTTACGGGGAGGGAGAGAGAGAGAGAAAACTAGGGCACTATTATCTGGCCTCTTTTTCCAAGCAGAAGCAGAGATTTGTGGACAGCGAGCTGGAGTGAAGAGATAGCGGGTTGCTGTGTGACTTTTACATTTCCCTTAGTGCCTGAGAAGTAAACTAAACCAAGGCGTCAATTCAAGGGCAGAGACACTTTCAAACTTATCTTCGGAGGCCACCATGCTGGAGGACAAGAAGACCAAGGTGAAGATCACCTTCTTGGTCATCCTGGTGGGCATCTCGTCCATGTTGGCGGCAGTGGTGACGGACCACTGGGCGGTGCTGAGTCCCAGGGTGGAGCGGCTCAACACCACCTGCGAAGCGGCCCACTTCGGACTCTGGAGGCTGTGTAAAAAGAGTATCTTCATTGTGGAGGAAGACCCTCAGGGTAAAGGCTGTGGCCCTATCAGCCTGCCAGGAGGTAAGGAAGTTCACATCCAAGTTATTTCTCATGAGCACATGTCCAGCCGTGTCGTCCGATATAGCCCAGAGGCAAGGATGTGTCTTCTGTGTGAAGTTTTTGGAAGAGCACCTCATTCATCTTAAGTTTTGTAACTGGAAATTGGGGAGCAGAAGAAGCCAAGTCAGGCATACTTCATACACAGTGCAAGAAAGTTCAAGGTGAAAAGTTTTCTACTCTAAGTGCACTGGAGTTTCTCCTTTCAACATTAATTCCCAATTTAGGTGGGAGTCTGTTCCTCAAATTGCATTAAGGGTTTATTTTAATTGCGTCGTTTTTGAATTGCTTAGTGAGGTCACTGACCAGAGTGCTAATGAATTGAACGGGTGTTGATTTGCTGTTTCTGATGTCATTGGGTTGTTTAAGGCTGTAATGGACAGGTTAAGATGATTTACGAGCAGATCTGTGGATTTGAATTAATGGAAAGGCAGATGAGCTGAATCTACCTGTGGGACACAGGAAATAACTCGACTGTTCTTTACGCTGCTCTAGGGATGGATCAGCCTCATTTCATTCCTACACCCAAGCTCATGAGGTCAAACAGATTGAGAAGAAGAGAGAGTAATGCAATTCACTCGTATGACAGTAAAGACTGTATGCATTCATTGACAGAGCACTGAATATCTGCCTTGATATCTGAATATCTACCTTCTGTTCAACTGCATTCTGCAGATATATTTGAGTCAATATTTAAGGCAGATGGCAGGTTATAGATCAAATGTCACACAAAAAGATTATAGTATTTAGTGGATAAATGAAACAGACGGCTCAGAAACCACACAAAAACAACTAGAGTAAAAAAGTAATTGGATCCAGGCTGTCACCTGTGTAATCCAGGGCGCAGTAAGACCAGCATCCTCTTGTCACACCTCAGGAAGAACTGTGGGGATAAACAGAGCGATCCGTCCCTGTGTTAAGCAAGGCCCCAAGATTTAACATCAACTATGGATGTTGAACTCAACATGAAAACAGCCTACAGTTCAAATTGGGTTTAACTCTAATTCTCCAACAAAGTTACTTATCTTAGACTTGCTGACAACTATACGCACAATCTCATCATCCTCAGCCTTAGTATGTAGCCTCAGCCTGAGATGCCATTGGACCATTTATGGACTGAGGACATTCATCTGAAGCGTATTTACAGAAAATGGCAAGAGCTTTCCTAAAGCAGCAAGCTCCAATCTGATTGGCTTTATGCAATTTCCGGAAATCAACATTTTCCAAAATGGTGCACAGGTTTTTGCAATTCCTCCAGGAAACATGGGTGCTACAATGAAAACTTCTGAAGAGAAGGAGTCAAGGGTTTGCTTGCTTAACTAGTTGCTTTGAGCCGTGGTCTTTGAAAGAGTTTTAAGACCTTGTTGCAAGTACATGAGTTATCCTTAAGTGCATGTGCATTGCACTTTACTCCCTGTTGAAAAAAAACAGCATATGCTTGTTAGGTATGTTTTGAAGCATGGCAGCTGGTTTGAGCTGATCCTTAGTTGGTCCTGAGCTGGTTATGAGCTGGTTCTGAGCAGGAGCTAGTTGCTTAGGACCAGCTTAAGTTAGGACCAGCACATGACCAGCTTAGACCAGCTCAAACCAGCTACCATGCTTCAAAACATACCCAATCAGCATAATGCTGTTTTTTTCAACACGGCTCTCAGGGATATTTGAAATTTAGCCACCCTTAAGCATCATGTAAAAACAGTGGTGGGCCAAAAGTGAGTGGTTCTTGATTGGAATAAGCTTTAGTGTGTACTGTATGTCGATTATTAATACTACAGACAAGCCATTATTCCCTCAGATCTAAGATATAAATTCAGAGGTAAGATTATTAGTCAAAGTCAACATCAATAAGAATGAACAAAATCTGTGCTTTGTCAAACATTTCCTTTATGACAGTGCACAGTACCAGCACTGTTTACTGATGTGCAGCATGAGTTTTCTCCAACCCAACCCCACAGCTCTCACTTTAGACCATTAGGAGATAAGCAGTTCAATCAGGTGGAGGATTGCAGTCTTGGCAGGCACCTACTGATATTCCTGCCCCGGTGGGAGAATTTGTGCTGGCAAGGGTTGGAAAGCACCTAACCCTGAGGCTCCACGGACACCTTGCAGAGCACAGCCGTTTAAAACGACGTCCTGTGAGACAAGGTGTGGCCCAGTTCACACTAGTACTGCAAACACAACTGCCTGCAGGGGAGTGGTTAGATTTGGATAGCCTCTTGAATTGCACAGAAGAAGCCATAAGCCAAAACATTAGCATTAAAGCAGTTATATTCCTGCTCACTCAATGTTTCTTGGCTTCACTCCCAGACCTGCTTCTCACAGAGGGAAAAGAAGAGCTATGAGTGTTGGCGAGACTCATCAAGTTCTTCGAGGGAATCTAGCATTTCACACTCATTCAACACTCAGGTCTGTTAAAATGTCTCTCGATCTTCCCAGTGGAGTTAATTATGTTAAAATAGCCATTTTAAGTGGCTTGAAGCAACTTGAAATTGGAACCACTCAGTGGATTCTGATACAGTATTGTGGGATATAATTGTTTAAAGAAATAGTTAAAGGGGTAGTTCACGCCAAAAATGAAAATTCTGTCATTGTTTACTAACCGAATGTCTTTCCTCTGTGGAAGAGAAAAGAAGATATTTTGAAGAATGTTAGATGCATCAAGATGTGTCAGGATAGCAGATGGTATTGTCTCTTGTTATTGTTACCAAAAGCACTGTACCAAGATTTTCAATGGATAACTTAAACTTCAGTTTGTTCATCACAGAAAGTTATCATATGGCTTCAAAAGACTTACAGCACACAAGTCATATGGACTACCATTAGGGGTAATTCACACAGAACGTGTTTTTCCATTCCAATGCACTACTTTTCCATTGTTATTCTATGTAAACAAGCTAGACGGATGCGTATGACCATTGTACTCGCGTCTTTTGCAGCTTCTCGCATATGAGTGCTGTGTTTTTAAAGGGGACATCGGATGCCCATTTTCCACAAGTTGGTATGATTCATTAGGGTCTTCGTGAAATGTCTGCAACATACTTTGGTTAAAATTCTTCAATGGTCGTGTAAAACAACACCCTTTTTACCTTGTCAAAAACAGCTGTGTTTTTGGTGCATGTCGCTTTAAGTGATAATGAGCTACTGTTCACCCCACCCCTCTGTTGCGTTTTTTTGTGTATTCGGTGGTGCATTACCATCAAAAACAAAACTAATCCACTGCGGAAGTCGGAAGAAAACAAAGGTTCTTATGTTCACTTTTGCATCCAACTACAAAACACCTGCATTGCTTATGAGACATTGTTGTCGCTACAGCTGCCTGAGCGTGGAGAAAATGGCATACAGCATACTGGCTGAGGGCGGAACTATGCTAATACAAGACAGTCCGTCAGCGGTCGTGGGCGGGGCTTGAGCAGTATGACGTCATACTGTTTAGAAAATCAAAGCGGCTTGATAATTGAAACTGTTTAGGTTTCGGAGAGATTAAAAAAAAAGGAGTGAATGGATTTTTATCATTGTAGGGTGGTTGTGTCCACACACTGCTAAGACACATTTATACGCAAACACCATGTACAACTGAATTTTGCATCCGATGTCCCCTTTAAGACGTGTGTCAAGTTAAAAGAATTTTTACACAAAGCATCACTCTTCAATTCTAGTCTTGTGGACCAATCAGAAGACCCCAGGGGCGGGGCAAGCGTTGCAAGCTTTTGTTTACAGTTGCAAGTTAGTATGGCAACTGTTTTATTTGATGGCAACATGACAGAAGAGGCATTCAGCGCTGCGTCTTACATTTTTTAGACGCAAAGACACGTTCTGTGTGAATGGCCCATTACAGTACTTCAATGGTGCTTTTTTGTCATTTGTGGAACTTGATGGTCCCTAGTCACTGCATGTGTTCTTTTTTGTGCTCCACCATAGAAAGAAAGTAATTTGTTTTGAACAACATGAGGGTAATGATGAGGCTAATGACAGAGTTGTTATTTTTGGATGAACTATTTCTTTAGTACCTTTGTGTTGCAGGGGCTTTATCTCAGTTTCCGGAGGCCCCAGAGGAAGCCATTTCCCTTGTGTGACCCAGATATGAGCACCCTTAGCGGGTTAGATGCTTTAAATGTGTCCTCCTCCTCTCACATTGACCCAGAATCTAACGGTCACTCTACAAGTGGACAAAAGAGCACACCTCTTTTTTCTTGAGCCACTGCTCCATATTTACCTAAATAAAAACAGCACAGCTGCTTCACGGCGCTCGAAAACCTGCCAGGCCCAGTGGTCTGTTTGCTTGGGCCATGAAAGGGAGGGGGCTTTAATCAAGATGTAAAAAACAATATGACAGCGACTGCAACCCAGCAATCGACCTCCTCCCTGAAATAAGTGCTTCCATTAACAAAACTGCGAGGTCAATGATACGCCCCAAATCGCTATTTTCGGCTACTCATTTTGCGCGGCGGTGCCGCTGAACTGAAAAGACTCACACTGTTCTTTTTGAGCTTTAGGTACAATCATGCTGAAAAACAGATCTGCCTACATGCAGAGCAAGGCGCATGACACAGGTCTCGCATTCGATACGTGCCAGGGGAAAAAATGACAGATTTGTCAAGAGCAGCCCTTTTATCTGGGACTGATTCGTGATCACTCTGTCCTTGTATGTCTCTGTCAGATGGATGAAGGATGCTGACAGGCCTACCGAAGCAAGACAGGTGAAGAGGACATGAAAAGACTGGGATAACATGGAGGGATGTCAATGAATCTCCACAATACACACTCCACAACTCTCTATTGCCGCAAAGGGCTCGAAACACAATTAAATCAAGTCTCACATCGTGGGTTGAGGGTATTGAAATGCTAACGCAGGGCTAGACAACTGACCACGACCCAACACGTGTATTAGCCCACGCATGGCACCAAACATTACGGCCAAAGGCTCTCAGAGGCCAATCGTGAGATGAACTCATCCACAACAGCTTGCGTTAAGGGCCTGTGATGGAAATAGTCAAATAAGCTGAGTAAATCACGGTCTAAAGCAGCACGGCGTGATGCATCCCAACCCCTCGCCGCTGTCAGTCTGCCTTTACTAATAAAGCTAAGACCAGCCTGTTGCTAGGTAACCTATACATAGGCCTCCCCCAACCCCCCGCTTGTGCTGGAGATTCTTGGTCCAGCGTAACAAACAGCGCCTCTGTCAGTCTTTCTCCTGGCACAGGGGACGCTGAGGTTGCTTTATGAGTTTAATCTAAAGAAGAGGTTCCTATCGTATGAACTCTTATATAACCTGACTTTTCCCATTGCCTTGGGAGATATGAGAGCGAGGACTCGTTTCACGATTTTGTGGACCTGTAACCTGATGAACACATGGGCGAGAAGCTCATTTCTGTTAATTAGCCTAAGGAGGGGAATATTAGGCATGTGAAATACAAAGTGTTGTTTTGTGAAGGCAAAATAATGGTAGGAAATAGAGCTTGTTCCATTTCATCAGCTAATTTGCCTTCCTGTCCAAAAAGCACATACAAATTGTGCACACTTACAGCATCCTACCAGCAAGAAAGCTTGCGCAACGTAATCACATGCTCTCAGCACATAATTCAGAATTCATGATCCATTCGATGGATTCACACGAATGCCTGGCTTGTTTTCAAGCACCCGGCTATGGTCTCTGGAGAAAATGTCAAGAGGGCTCATTGGTAGTTTGGCTGCATCGTAATGACAGGCTACGGCAGCACCTACAACCCTCAGCTACAATCACTGTTTTCATCTTGTTTTGCAGTCAAGAACTGCTCCTACTTCAAACACTTCACATCAGGGGAAGAGGCTGAAGTTTTTGAAGTAAAGACTCAGAAAGGTAAGGTTTTCCCCCTTTGAAATCATGTGTGGATAGTGCAAAGTTTTCCACTTAATACCAAGCAGAGATGGAGGAAATCAAATTAAATTTGCTGTGGAACCCATTCTCAGTGCTGGATGGACTGCTTGCAAATTGTAGTCCGTTACTGATTCCGAATTACATGACAAAAATTGTAGTTAGTAACGTAATCCATTAGATTACACATTTTAGGTAATGTAAAAGGACTACTTTTTGATTACTTTTAGATTACTTTTTACCTAACTTGTTTAACTTAACTAAATTGTTTGATAATCTTGCACCGTATTGTTTTAAAAATGCAAAGAGAAAGAAATTATATTCCATTCATTGTAATTAACAACATGAAGTGCATTACATGACATCAAGGTTTCCCAAACTGGGGTTTGTGAAGGAACTGCAGGGGGTTTGTGAATTGAATGAAAAGCTAATAATTACCTGCATGCCATGTGACCATTAACCAAAACTCGAAAAATCAAAGACCAAGTATCAAAAATCAATAAAAAGTAACTGTAGCAGGATTACAAGTATTTTAAAATGTAATATAATCTAATTACAAATACCTATTTTTTTGGTATCTGGTTACGTTATCCAGATTACGTGTAATCTGTCACTACCCAGCATTGCCCATCCAGCACTGTTAACACAACAGACACGAATGATTCTGCTTTCCCAAGCAATTTTACTTAGATTTTTTTGCCCGATAAATGTTAAAACAATCCTGTTAACTTGCAACGAAGGAGTGACCCACTGAATAACTTAGTAATACATAACAAGTTTTGCATATGCAAGTATTGCTCCCAAGATATAATGATACAACATATCTGTTATTATTTTTAAAAGTTATGCTATATAAATACCTCGCTCTTCTTAAGACTGAAACTTTTTTCGCTCTCAGCTAGACATAATGTCCACCGATCTCAGGCAGTGCAATCTAGCAACCAAATATGGCCATTGGCATTAAATTTTCTGCCTACTTGAGCAGAGCGCATCTTCCATATTTCACGCTCTAGCTCGGTCATTGAGTTAAAGTGGAATAAAGCCTTATCCGAGTCTGATAAAGTGCTGAATGCAGTGAGACGTGAAGCAAAGCACAAATGCTTCATCGCCACGCATTTCCTGAGCCACATCCAAAAATGTCAATACTCATTCACGCTATTGATCTGTCTGTATTACTAATTAATGACACGTTAAACGCAACATTAGTCTAGAGGTCAGACTGATTAGCCAGATCATCTGAATTAGCAGAGTAGATGAAGTTATCCTTGAATGATCTGCTTGTGGATACAAGGTGCCTGCAGAGTTGTTTGGCGAATGCAAGCTCTTTTGGTGATGAAGCAGCAGCTGCAATAAAAACGTTGATAACAACGAATGAAATTGGACAAATAAACATAAACCTATGAAAAACATACAGTTTAGTTAGCTTGGATTCTCATTTGGGGCCTCATTAGGAATCCAACCTTATTAACCTTTAACTATCTCTCACACATCAGAATAGACACAAAGCTACAAATCGTCAAATTCGACATTCTTTTTGTTCCCTTTAGCATGCTAGCAGATTAGCCTGCATAGCACAGAGCATAGCACAAATTTACTACATGTATGATTATATTACATACTGAATTAGGTTTAGATGTGGTAATATAAGTAGGATTCTCTGTGACAGCTGTAGGCATAATTGAAGACATGTTTTAAAAGAACAATTTAATAAGAATGTTGCCATAAGATCTCGGGCAGACCTGGTCTTGCTTTGATCTGCTCTCAGACTCTCTGTGTGATTTTCTTCCGTCAGAGTACAACATCTCAGCTGCTGCCATTGCAATCTTCAGTTTGGCCTTCATGACCCTGGGCAGTCTCTGCCTCCTGGGGGCTTTTGGGAAGGGTAGAGACTATCTGCTGAGGCCAGCTGGCATGTTCTTTGCTTTTGCAGGTAAGCACTATGTTAAACTGAATATATCTTCTTAAAATGTTTTCGTATTTTGTGTAATTTAACTGGTACCATGCTTCTCTCATGTACACTGAATATTCATAGTTCAAGCAATACTGTGGTATTGAGCCTACTACAATGTCCAAGAAACCATGTTATTAGCATTTATATTAGTTTTCGTTGTTGTTGTTGATACCCTTGTGTAACAGAAGTACACTTTTGCATATTTTTTATAAAGAGTATTTATGGAGTACTTATTATTTGATGTTTTCTGACACTTAATAGCATTATTATTGCAATTAATTGAAAATGTGTTATAGTTTAAATTTATAATAGAGGTTTTTTTTTGACCCACTTAACTACATCTTTGTATGTAATTTCATAATTACTTATATTGCCATTGATAAATATGGTCAAAGTGTACTGCTGAATGTACTGTCAATTATTTATGATGATAAAATATACCTTAATGCCATTTCTACTGAAACTTGTATGTCATGCAATTAAATATATTCATAATTACATATTTGTATGAATGAATTTGCAATTTAGTAAATAAAAATGTGCCTTTAATTATTATTCAAATTGCAATCAGATACTTTGCATGTGCTTTAGTATGTTAGTGAACGCAACAAAATGAGTGTACTTCTGTAAAGCACGGCAAAAAATTATTAAAATATGATTGATTATAAAGTGCACTTTTTAAAAGTGTCATGAACGTGTCTCTCTTTCAATTCACTTAAGTGTCCTTTTATTTCATCAGTATCATCTGCAAGTACAGTTTTTAGAGTTATACTTCCAAGATGTGAAGTATACTACAAGTGCACATTCGACACAATTAAGCACACTTCTTTTTAACAAGGGTGATTTTAAGACACTTTCAGGATTACAGCTTGCTACACTCATGCAGTTGCAACTGGTCAAGTGTCCTGCAGGTCAAAAGCAGCTGTGAGCGTTTATACGTGCTCAAGGACTTGCAGGACGGTGTAATTCAACGCCGGTGAATCGATAGTCTAGAAACCCCAGACACCAACCACAAAACCACCATTCTTTATTCTCCATTTAACCTCTGTGACCTTTCTCACCCTCACAGGTCTGTGCATCGTCATCTCGGTGGAGATCATGAGGCAGTCGGTCAAACGCATGATTGACAGCGACGAGACCATATGGATTGAGTACTACTATTCGTGGTCCTTCGCTTGCGCCTGCGCCGCCTTCACCCTCCTCTTCCTCAGCGGCATCAGCCTCCTCATCATCTCTATGCCACACATGCCCAGAAACCCCTGGGAGACCTGCATGGACGCCGAACCAGAGCCCATAGACTAGAGTAGCGTCGACCACAGAGTAAGAGCGCAACGCAACTGACACAGGAGTCACTCTAGCAGAGCGAATGATAATGATGCATTGCATTTATAGATGATGATAGTGTTGCATTGATATTTTTAACTAAGCATCGACAGAGACGTCGAATTATTTAAAGCAGGGCTGTCCAAACTCGGTCCTGGAGGGCAAATATACATTCTAAGCTGTCGTCTATTGCATATAAGCATGAATGCACATAATAATGTTTTCATATGCCGTAAAACATACAAAATTCATGTTAGATATTTCATATAGACCTTAATGGGATAGTTTAACCAAAAATGTAACCATTTACTTTAAACCTGTATGACTGACCGACTTCTGCTGAACACAATTTCAAAGAATCTATACAAATAGAAAAAAGTTTTGGGTAATCTATCCCTTTAAATCAGGGCTGTCCGAACTCGATCCTGGAGGGCCGGTGTCCTGCAGAGTTTAGCTCCAACCCTAATTAAACACACCTGAACCAGCTAATCAAGCTCTTACTAGGCATAGAAACTTTCAGCAGGTGTGTTTAATTAGGGTTGGAGCTAAACTCTGCAGGACACCGGCCCTCCAGGATCGAGTTCGGACAGCCCTGATTTAAAGGGATAGATTACCCAAAACTTTTTTCTATTTGTATAGATTCTTTGAAATTGTGTTCAGCAGAAGTCGGTCAGTCATACAGGTTTAAAGTAAATGGTTACATTTTTGGTTAAACTATCCCATTAAGGTCTATATGAAATATCTAACATGAATTTTGTATGTTTTACGGCATATGAAAACATTATTATGTGCATTCATGCTTATATGCAATAGACGACAGCTTAGAATGTATATTTAGGGACTTGTTTATAATATGTAAAGTTTACAATCTGTTATTTCTGAAACAGTGCCATTGAATGTGATGATGGGTGACCATAAAAGTATAAGCAATGGATATTTGTTGTACGATCAGTTTCGGCAAATACAGATTGCACTTATTTTAGTAGCGACATTTCCTTTTTAACAGGTGTATATAGTTCATATTGTAATAGTAGTGAGGTGAATCTAATAACGTTACTAGTACAGGTTTATACTTCCCAGGTAATTTAAGCTGTTATATTCTTTACACACATCACACTTGGACTTCCTGCTTTTGAGCGAGTGAATCTCAATAACTGCCTCGAGACAGACTGTTAAAACCCCACAAACATTTTCTGTGTTGATGTAGTTGGGACAGGGCATATTGAAGTTCTTGCCATTTTTTTTTTAATAGCCAGTGGCCTTTAGTTTAAGACACACCACCAAACCATGAGTTACTACTTCCTGTGTCTGGTTTGTGGCATAATTTAGAGGGAAGGACATTCTCGTTCTCATTTGATTGCATGTTTGGCCCATTTCCCAAGAAGAAAAGGATTTAGAATGTGTATATACACTCTAAAAAATGCTGGGTTAAATACAACCCAGTGCTGGGTGAAATATGGACAAACCCAGCAATTGGGTTGTTTTGACCCAGCAGTTGGGTTAAATGTAACCCAACCTTCTGGGCAGTAACCCAGCCGCTGGGCCAAAACAACCCAATTGCTGGGTTTGTCCATATTTTACCCAGCACTGGGTTGTATTTAACCCAGCATTTTTTAGAGTGTACAATGAATGTACTCGTATAGAAAAAGTTCAAACTAATATACATTGACTGGAATCCACAAAACATTCATACATATATTAATAAACATGCATATTCAGTGAGCTTATTCTGTTATTCATACAGCTTTATTATTCTGCATTGTACTCCACTATATTGGACTTGAAGAAACACAGTAAACCAGGGTTTAAAATTGTGCACTGCCACCTGATAAATGGACATTTAAAGGGAGTAGTTCACCCAAAAATGGAAATTCTGTCATTAATTACTCACCCTCATGTCGTTCCAAAACCCGTAAAACCATCGTTCATCTTCGGAACACAATTTAAGATATTTTTGATGAAATCCGAGAGCTTTCTGATCCTCCATAGACAGCAAAGAAAACAAAAATAACTTTATTCAACTTGTGTCAGTCTTCGACGCGCATAAACGAGAGTACCAGGACGCATGCGTCATTATTTTCGCTTTCTTTGCGCACAAAAAGTATTCTCGTAGCTTTATAACATTAAGGTTGAACCACTGATGTCACATGGGCTATTTTAACTATGTCCTGACTAACTTTTTGGGCCTTGAACGTGTCAGTTGTGTTGCTGTCTATGCAGGGTCAGGAAGATCTCGGATTTCATCAAAAATAACCTAATCTGTGTTCTGAAGATGAACGAAAGTCTTACGGGTTTGGAACGACATGAGGGCGAGTAATTAATGACAGAATTTTCTGAGAGCATTTTTGGGTGAACTATCCCTTTAAGATGTTGAATAGTTATAAATGTTTGGGAGATTGATTAAATGGTGAAAAGTAGACTTTGCGAAGACTTTTTGAGAGATGGAAGCTGATGATGATGTTTACCGTAAAAGCAGCAATTAAACTGCTGTTAACTTTCGAAAGTGCCATCTCACCATGACTGAGTGCGTTTCTCTAAACTGTGGCCAAATAATGAACAAAATTGTGATCGAAGAATAACGAACACTCATTTCCTGTTTATTTGTTAATTTACTAATGGTAATGCAGTTCTACAGTACAAAGATATCAGTTTGCTTTATTGCTAACAGCTTCATTAAATGACCAGTTTTTGTTTTTGGTTGCTTCGTGCCTTTTGCCAGCACTAATAACCATTTCCTGAGCATAAGTAAATATATTATAGCTCTCATAATGGTTCACTTTTTATATCCTGATCAGGCGAGCACAAACAAAACCTCTTTGTTGCTTATTAAAACTGAGCATTTTGATATCCAATAACAAGCAGACTCTGAGAAATCAACTTTCTGTTCATTTGGCAGCTTTGCGTCTTTCCATGTACTTACAAACAAAATAAAAATGTAAAATGTTCTGATGTGCCATTTCATTGTTAATAAAAAGGTTTGATATTTGCCTATGTGCATTTTTTTACATTCTACATACAGATGCGGTAGGAGAAGAATAAAGCACACAAATGTCATCTCATGTATTCATTTATTCATATGTACAGGTTTGAGAAAAGTCTGTCTACATCTATACAACTTTTTATAATATTTTTCATACGAGTCAGTTCACCACTCAGCAGCAAGCACAAGAAAACACACCAAGAAACTGAACATCATAAAAAAATGCCAGCTGGGAAAAATCACTTGAATAAGTTTTACTTCTGGGAGTGGATGCAAAGAGAGCGGACATAATTACAGGAAAGACGGGCAGCTGAGTGGTCAACCAATTCATGGTGTTTTTAAAAATCTTTTTTTTTTTTGTTATTGTTTTTTTAAATGTTTTTTCCCCAAATGTTTTGGTGTTTCATGAATGATATATATATATATATATATATATATATATATATATATATGCTGATTCGGTTTGTAAAATCACAGATGCCAAACTGTAAAATAACCAACTATAGTACTAAAGCAAGTAAAAAATAATAAAACGCAAAATGTCTAACTATCCCACAAAATCAAGACATTTTTATTGTTTTTTTTTTTGATTATTATTCTATTTTTTTCAACAGTTTTCCTTTTTAACAGGTGTATATAGTTCATATATATTGACTTATTTAAAATACGTGTAATAGCCATTGCTACTGTTTGAACTGCCTATGCTAAGTTCCTGTAACAGAGAGATGGGGTCACTGTTCTTCTTGACCTGCTCGGGCAGCGGTCGGGGCTTTGGAGGGGCTCGGAGGGCGCTGGCGTAGGACATGGTCGGGGGCTTGGAGTTACTGGGCCCCTGGGGGCCCCCTGGGCTGGTGTTGCCCCCTCCCGGGTCGGGCGGGGTCTGCTTGCTGGGCATGAGGGGTGGGAACTGTCCGTGGTGCTGGAGAGACGCGGCGCTGGCGGGGTGAGGCGACTGCTGCTCATCCGCGATGCTCATCGCCTTTGAAACTGAGGAACAATTAGCACACGTCGTTACTACTTCAACACAACTGCATCAAGTGCCAGTTATTATATTCATCACAGGTCTAATGTACACAGGTTAATGGGATCACAGGCAACATTAATGTTCATTATTAAACAATTAAACACGCTATTGCTTTTCACTTGGTATAGACATTTTTGTACATGACTAAAATCATAAGTTTGATCCTATGGATGAGCAAAACATAATTTGTGGGTTGTCTGAACGGCTGCACAATTGGTATCAGTACAATGGTGCATGTCCACCAGACAAATTAGATGGTTTTCAAAACGGTACTATTTTTAACTGCATGCAGCATCACGGTGCGGCACATTCACTCTTGTTCAGCTTCTTTAAATTAAATTATTTGAAATGCAAAACATTTAAAAAATACCAACACGATCAATACGATGATTGAAAATAGCTTTACAATACTGCAAGAAAAAGAATCACAATATATTGATTACATCAGCAAATTACATCAGTGTTGTTTTTGTATGAGTTATATAGCATTTCTTTATATTTTAGAAATAGCTTTTGTTTTAGAAGCAGCTTTTATTTGAATATTTCCAGCTTTTAGTTTAATTTTACTGATTAAAATCAGAGTAGAACAAGAATCACAATATAGTATATTACATACCTATATGACATACGATCACAGCAGCAAAACCAGTATTATTTTAGTATTGTTTGATTACATAGAATTACAGCATTTATTTTTATTTTTAGAAGTAGCTTTTATTTTAATATTTTTGGTTTTCATTTTAATTTCAGTTTAAGTTGTAGTCATGAAAAATTGCTTTGCAATACTGCAAAAAACAAAACAAAAAACAAAAAAACAAAACAAAAAAACCCCCTACATATGACTGTTATTTTTGCATAATTTATATAGTATTTATTTATATAGCTGTTATTTTAATATTTTCGGTTTTCATATTTCATTTTAGTTTTAGTGATTAAAAACAGCTTTGCAATACTGCAAAAAAAGAAAAAAAGAATTGCAATATATTCCTACATACAATGGTATATTTCTGAATCATTTATACAGTATTACATTTATTTATAAGTAGCGACGATTTTGGTTTTAATTTCAGTTTTAGCTATTAAAAAAATAGCTTTG